TATTAAAAGAAACAAAGACAGTGATACTGTTGCAACAACAGAGTCTTAAGAGATCCTTGGAAGATACAACTTTATCTTTGTTCAGAAACAAATTTTAAATGGCAATAAGAGAACTGAAGAACTTTTATACTACCTATAATAAAGTCTTTTTCCAAGAGAGTAATAGAAAAGGAAATAAATGATAAATGAATGACATTAGAATCCAGGTTGAAGCTGGGGGACAGACAACCGAAAAGTGGGTGAAGGGAGACGTCGGACAGGGCAAGATATGACAAAATAACAATTTATAAACTATCAAGGGCTCATGAGGGAGGGGGGAGCGGGAGGAAGGGGAAAAATGAGGACCTAATGCCGGGGGTTTAAGTGGAGAGAAAATGTTTTGAGAATGATGTACAAATGCGCTTTACACAATTGATGTGTGTATGGATTGCGATAACAGTTGTATGAGCCCCTAATAAAATGTTTAAAAACATTTTAAAAAATTGTGCACCTCTTCACAAAGGCACCAGGGCAGATTAACCAATAAGCAATGCAAAAAAATCCAGGTGGAAGGCTTTCTTGTAGAAAATTATATTGAAGGAAAAGATTTTTGAGAAAGTACAAGTAAGCAGAGAGGCATTCACACTGAGATAATAATCTGAGAGGCTGAGAGGCTGCCAGACCAAGGTCTAAATCATTGGGCAGGAACAGTAGGAGGCGAGAGTAAGCACAGGACTAACAGGGCAGGAACAGCAATCAAAGAACATGGCCACACACAGAGCTGGACTTAATTTCTTAGACCAGTAAATCTCAACTTTTTGTCTGCTATTTACTTTGCAGGAGTAAAAGACAATTTGACAATTCCAACAATAAATCTCTCATTACATATGCAGATTCTCAAGAATCATAAGCTTGGACGACTTACTAGTCTTCAGAAAGCAATGATAACAATGGACAGTGTAGGACATGAAATAACAACAATAATATACCAAGGCTTAATGAAGCTGGGAGGATGGGGGAGGAAAGGAAAAGGAGAGGAGCTGATACCAAGGGCTCAAGTATAAAGAAAATGTTTTGGAAATGTTGATGGCAACATATGTACATACGTGCTTAATATAATTGTCATAAGAATTGTAAGAGCCCCCAATAAAATATTTTTAAAAATAGAAAGCAATGATAAACTTGCCTCTGTGACAATTACTCTTATGGAAGAACATTATGAACATGATATAGGAACATATTTTTTTAATTCATCACACTATTTAAAATCACTTTTGCAGATCAATCACTATTATATTCCATAACTTATCATATTTGCTTTTATACTTCTAGATGGTATTTGTAGAAAGGCAAAGATAAGACTAAATATTAGCGTTAGTTTGCTCAAAAAAGAAAACTGTTTTTCCAGTAACTTTAAGGGCAAATTATTTTAAAATTTCAAATTCAGCAAAAACAGACATACCGTATATACTCATGTATAAGCCGAGTTTTTCGGCACATTTTTAATGCAGTTTCTGTGGTAAAATTAGGTGCCTCGGCTGATATTCGGGTCAGCTTACACTCGAATATATGTAGTACTTATCATAGATAAACATCATTAAGCATAATTTTACATATAGTCTCATATATACATATTTTATAAATAACTGAAAATATATTATATATCAAAATATGGTATACAATACTACATTAATGCTTACTAAAGAGAAAACATCATTTAATCTTCAAAACAAGTCTATAATAGTCTTATCATGACTTTAAAAATAAGAAAATTAAGGCAATGAACGATTAAGTAGCTGGGTTCTTATGTTTAACTAAACAAAAAATTCAGTCATGCAAAGAACCTCCTCTTCTCTTAATTGCATTGGGGAAAAAATTGCCAAGGTTTTAAAACCAAACATTTTGAAAACACATTCTCAAATAATCTGAAACTTTTTGGGCATATTGTAAATATAGTATTTTCCCAGAGTGTTTCATTTATTTTGCTTTTATTCCATTAAGAGAAATTCTTTTGAGTGAATATGAACCTATATTTTGTGCTTTCCACAGATGTTTTTATTTTATTTTTTTAATACTAAACAATATAAAATACCGATAAAATAAAGTTTTGTCAATAAAGCAATAATGTAAATTTTTTTTAAAAAGAAGATTAAGTAGCTATTACAGGTCACTTAGGACAGAGCAGCCCTGGGTTTCTTACTCAGACATCAGGCTCTAGTCTGTGCTCTTAGCAAGTAAGCCCTACACACTGCTATTCTCAAGAGCTAAAACTTACAAATGATTATTAATGAAATAATTGTCCTAAATACACTTCACCGCACTGCTGACACCAACAATCATAGTTTAAAAGTTCATTAAGAATTAACTTTTATAAAAAAAGAATTAGCTGATAGTATAGCTTCTGTGCTTCTGTGAATTATTTTATGGTGACTTAATAGCCCTATGGAAAAACTGAAAAAATTCAAAGTAATGCCTAATCAAAACTGCCTTCTTTCTCTTTAATGACATTATACACTTTTCATTTACTTTTTTTTCCTGACTATACACTCAATTTTTAAAATTCATACGGGGATTACAGAACTCTTTAAATATATTTAAATCGATGAACTGTATGGTATATGAATTACATTGTCAATGAATTCAGCTTTTAAAATATAGCTTTTAAAACAAGACAGTGGTCTTGTTTGAATCAGGAGTTAATAAAGGCACATGCATTGTGAAAAATAAATAAATGTCATGTGGACTATCCTAAAAATAATTAGTTCATAAAAAGCTATGTCACAATTTAGAGAAATAACTTAAAGAAAACCTACGAAATTATAAGTATTTCAGGGAAAAACGTAACATTTTTTCAATGTAAAAATTAATCTTTGAATTACTTCCCTCAAGTTAAAAAACTTCAAATTCACTGTCATCAAGCTGATTTTGACTCATAGTGACCCTACAGATGAGTGTAGAACTACTCCTATAGGTTTCTGAAATGAAATCATTATGTGAGTATGTCTCATCTTTTTCCCATGTTGTGGATAGTGGTTTTCAACTACTAAACTCCATGGCTATAAGTCCAACAAGTGGCCCACTGCATCACCTGGGCTCCTCAAATTAGTCACGATTTATTTACTATTAAAACTAATTTGCAAAGTAACTGAAATATTCTATCTAAACAAAAAAGCCAAACCAATTAAATGGGGAAAGGTTAATGGAGCAAGGGTGAGGAGTTCAAGTCTTGGTCCCTTCCTTTCTCTTCTTTAATGTCTCTGAGGCCAATTCTCCCAATAAAAAATTAAGACCTATGCATGTGGGTTTGTTTTGAAGCTGAAATTAAGAAATTAAATGAGAAAGTGCTTACCTGTTTCTGTACCTAAAGCACAACCACAATTAGATACTGGGTTTTACACATTGAATGAAATTAATACTTGGTCAGTTGTATAAATTGAATCAAAATGTTTAGGTACACCAAATTTTCTAATAATTCAACTCAATATTTATTTTAGTAAAATGACTCTGGATATATTTGGATTTATGTATCTTATGAGTAACATTTGAAACTGTTTTAAAAATAAACCTTAATACATTAAATTAAAAATAACTTTCTTCTGCATCACTCCTTTCAGCTTTCTTCTTCTGCTTTAAAGAAGCAACTACTTTTACCTTTTAGTCTTTTCTGTTAATTGGTCGCTATTTTATTCCTAAATGAAATTTTTAGGTTGCTATTTCTTGATTTATAAATGTTAGGTAATATTTTATGTACATCCTCTTCTTTTGAGGACTTAACTTTTAAATTTATCACTATTTCCACACCTTTCCTCCTTACTAATGTAGCTATATACCGTATACACTCGTGTATACACTTGTGTATTACCGAGTTTTTCAGCACATTTTTAATTGCCGTTTTTGTGGTAAAAATATGAGTAACATTTGATGTTACTTGGCTAGTGCCTTGTGCCTTGTGCCTTGGTGCCTTGGCTAGTATTTGGGTCAGCTTATCCACGAGTATATAAGGTAATAAAAATAATCATTGTTCAGAGTTAAATACTACTATTAACCACAGAGCCAAATATTTGTCATCATTGCATCAATCCCCCCTAACTTCCCATTATAAAATCAAGTCTTCCTTTGTAAGACTTCCTCTCCTCCATTCTGCTTTCTACAGCTAAACATTCTGCTTTCTACAGATACTATCGAGAAACCTAAAACTTTTGGGAAAAAATTATTATTCATTCTGAAACTGTTGAAATTTGCTTCTCACTTAAACCTATACCAATTGCCAGGACTTTATTTCATGGAACCTCGGGGTGAAAAAATGCCAACAGTTTAGTTAACAGGCTAGCATGTTGGTCCTTTGCACCAAGTGTGGGGCACCCTTATCTAATTTCTATGGGCCTTAAATTTTAAAAGCCCTTTATTCTGTAGAGCCTTTTTATTGGAGCGTAGGCATTTTAGATTGAAAGTATGAAGAATATGTCAGAACTGTCAGGAAACAAAAATAACAGTTCCTGCTTTCAAGAAAATTAAAATGCTTTAGAATGGGAAACAAGCAGCATAATAATCACAATAAGTAAAATTCTGTCTGTGAAATTGGACAAATGCATAGAATCTACGGGGTTCAAATGAGAGAAACGGAAACCCAGGCATGAACAAAAAGGGGAGACACAAAATGGTTCACAGAAAGATGTAAGAATGAACAGGACAGTGATTGGGAAAGGAGGCAATTGAGAAAGAAAGACATAAGGAACATACCATTAATAAAAGAAGAAAATCAGGAAAACAAGGGACATATTTAGAAAATACTAATTTCCCTTTTAACTATAGCATAAAGATGCAGGTAAGGAGAATGGAAAGTATATATGGCTATTAAGGTTGGCTTAGCTCAGAAAACCTCTATCTCCAAGCTGAAAAGTGTGAAATTACTATTAGATCCAATCATCGTTTTCCACTGCAATTTAAATAATAACTATTAAACCAATGCCACAAGAATAAATTAGTTCAGGTAAAACTAACAGTTATTAAAATTGACTTACATATGATTAGATCTTCTTCCTCTATTTGTTTTCTTTCCTATTACTGGAGTGCCAAAGTGTTCAGGGTTGGTGAGGGGGAGCTGGTCTAATGTCTGTGGGTAAGAACATAAACCCATCAATAGTTATTATTTTGCAAATTATTTTTCCTTTTTAAACAAAATAAATTTCAGAATGTTTAGATTTCGAATTAAAAACTATCTCTAATGAAAGAAAAATGCAACTTTTCTAAGAAAAACTATATTTTGAAAGATATTAGAATAAGCCTAATTCTAAAACAACCTTAACAAAATAAAGTCCTGGAAATAAATTTAGTTGTTCTTTAAATTATTTCATTATCTATTTGGAGACTGTTGGACTTCTAAAAATGATTAAAATATAACACAAATCAATCACAACTCAGTAGAAATATAGATGTGAGGGATGATACAGAAATCTTTAAGAAGCTAAGTACTAGGTCGACTCGGAATTCAAATTTCTCTCTGTATAGATGCAATCATAATCCATAAAACAGAATTTTATTAAATAACAAAAATCTTAAAATCACATTAGGATTATTAGCATCAATTACTAATATGGCTTAACACAGGCTATATTATTCTGCAAATATTTCCTGCAATAAATCTATCAAAGAAAATGCAAACATTTACTTTTTGTGTAGCTAGCATTTTAATCTCTTTTCCTATTTAATCTTCAACATTCAATATTTTGTTGGTATGCAGATAAAAATCAATGAGTGGACATTTTTCTGGTAGTAAACTGACAAATTGTAAAAACTGATAAACATAAAAAATTGCCTGTAGCCTCTATGCAAAAATAATGATTTCCAGACAAGAGGCTAGCTGACAATTGGATACATATATAAGAAAAAGATATTATGTAATGGTTCTCCTGGTCCTTCAGTATGAGACACATCTTCAATTTTCTTTTTACATCATTTCCTTAAAAAAATTAAAGTCTGGCTGTGGTTACTCCTTTAAGAAGGTAGAAAAGGGAGCAGACCATCATCCAATTGATGTTATATAACACTGAGATAAGGCTGTGACAAAATAGGAACGAGAGGAGAACCTTACTGGAAAAGCAAGTTAAGACCAGGGGAGGAGAGCCACCTACATTTTAGAAGAGGTAGTTATATATCAGAAGTTGGTGTGTTGGGTAAATGTGAGCAAACACATCACGAAGGGATGCTAAACAATAAGTGTAGGAAACCTAAAAGGGGCAATATACCCAATTTTATGTTCCTGTGCAGATATTACAAGCATGTTTCTACCGAACCATCGGTGAACTACACCATCAACTAAGCACTGTGATGACCTTAGACGCTGGCCTTACAGGCAACATGGCATCCTCCAATGGCGACATCAGAAGGACTCAACATAGAAGCCGGACTGAATGAACTGTTAAGCCCTATCTCAAAATGACATGTACCTTAAACTGAGGACTGAAATACACTGATAGAAAAGGAAGTAAAGGCTGGTTACCCAAGACTATGGAAATGGTGGTTCATTGGACCTTGGATGGGACCCCTGACTCAGTGGGTGTCCAATGAAAAAGGATCCAGAACCACCATGTATTTCATACAACAATGTTCCCCTTTCATTAATAGGGCAGGTTTTAATGTTAGGCAAATATATGTATTTATAATAATTTGGATATAAGAAATTTTCCCCTAGCACCAATTCTCATGCTCAGTATAAACAGAGCTGAATAATTAAGAAACTGGTGGACTTCTGGAAAGATGGAGACCAAATAACACATATCAGAAGGACTCAGCAGAAATCAACACAGGAGACCAACTGAAAGGGAAATTCCATGTTGCTGGGTCGGTCACAGGAGGAGCACCATAAAGATAAGTAGAACATATCCACTAGTTTTTCAAGAGCTGTAGACTTTTGCCTTATCGCTGTAGAGGCCAGCTAAGGCTTAACCTTAGCAGCACCACAGTCTTGGCCAGAGCTGGGCTTTTTGGCGGGCCAAGGCCTTTACTTCAACACAGCCACAGTTAGTTGCCACCTCTGGGCAGGATTCAAGCTCCTCCGGCCCCACAGTAAGGCAACCGGGGCTAAGCTATAACTTTACTTTTGTTTCTTACTCTTCTTTTTCCACCCCCAGTCTCACAAGGATCAGGGTTTTTTTTGTTGCTGTTTTCTCTTCTCTTCTCTTTCCTCTCATACACCACTGCTAACCTCCCTTAGCCTAGGGACAATTACACCTATTTTCCACCCAGCAGGGGGAGCTCTGCCCTCTGCAGCTTAACACAGGGCTGGGGGAAGCCCGCCCACTTTCCTCCAGAGGGAAACTCACGCCTACCCTCCAATGCCCTTTAAGCAGCTTGGGGAAAATTCCAACCACTCCTCCACCCACCAATTCTCTGTAGCTTAACACTTGGCTGGGGAAATCCCACCCGCCTCCCACAACATGGAAACTCACGGGTACTCTCCAAGGCCACTGGGGGAACCCCTGCCCGCCCATTGGGGAGCTTCATTTGGCTGGGGAAACCTCTGCCTTCTTCTACAGCCCTATTTGTGGCTGGAGGAGCCCCTCCCTGTCCTTTGCAGTCTTACATGGATGAGGGAACTGCGTCCCGCCTGACTTAGTGCCTCACACAGCCTAAGGCAGTTCCACCACCAATCTCCAGTGCTCCACATTGCTATGGGAACCTCTGCCTGATCTATGCGGCTATGTACCTGACTAAGGATATTCCACCTACCATCCTCAGTGATCTACAGCAAAGTGAGCTCACCCACCTGCCTTCTGCAGCACTCCCTTGCAGGAATCACCCTGGCACGCCCTCTGTGGCACCCCAAGCCGCCAGGGGCCACACCACCACAAGTTCTCATGAAATCATCCAGTGCAGCAACATCATTGTGGGTCCACAACTATCCAACCAGCATCCCCTGAGAAGACCAACTAACTTGCCCTCCAAATAAAAGAATACTGGTTGATTAGGGAAAGAGTGAAGCCACAGGAGGAAAAACTGGTAACCCAATTCCATAGTGCAATTAGCTACAGGAAGTTCGGAGAAGCATTTGCACCAGAGCGCCCAGTGCTGTTCGAATGGTTGGAAAATGGCACTGGGATTCTCTAAAACAACACAATGCAAACAGCAAACAGCCCCAACGACCTCAACTACAAAACAGGAGAAACAAAAGTCAATGTCGAAAGAAGTCAACCTAATGATGTGCATACACGAAGCAGACATTGATCTGCCAATGAAAAAAATCTTCAGAATGCTATTTGGAGTCATACAGGATATGAGGGAATCAATACATAAAAAGGATGAAATGATAGAAAAGATAAAGACCAAAAACCAAAGGGAAATACAAGAGTAAAGGGACAAGCTAACAAAAACCAATAGCAAATTCACAGATTTGGCCAACCAACTAGGGGTAGCAAAGAACCACACCAGTCGACAAGATCCATCACCAATTCCTATTTAAGACACTAAAAAAGATAGGAATGGAAGGAAAATTCCTCAATATAATACAAGCTATATATCAAAAACCCACAGCCAACATGGTAGTCAATTATGAGAAAAGAGTAAAACAATCCTACAGAAAAAGGGGACCTGACAAGGATGCCCATTGTCCCCACTCTTAATTAACATCTTACTGGGGGGTCCTAGCTAACAGCATAAGGCAAAGAAAAGACATCAAAGGTATTCTCCTGGGAAACGAAGAAGTGAAAATATCATTATTCACAGATTATATGGTTTTATATATGGAAAATCCCAAAAGCTCCACAAGGGGAGTACTGGAAGCAGTAGAGGACTATGATAGAGTGGCAGGATACAACATCAACAAACAGAAGTCTATCGGAACACTAAACACTTTGGACAAGACCACAGAAGAGATCAAAAAGGTAGCACACTTCACAATAGCCAAGCACAAATTGACTTATCTAGGGATATACCTGACTAAAAAAACAAAATAATTGTACAAGGAATACTACAGAACACTATTACAAGAAACCAGATTGACATCAACAAATGGAAGAATATCCCATGCTCATGGATCAGGAGACACAATATAGTAAAGATAGTTCTGCCCAAGTTACTATGTAAGTTCAATGTTATCCCGCTAAAATACCATCATGTTTCTTCAAAGACCTGGCAAAACTGACTTCCAACTTCATATGGAGAAGGAAGAAGCCCAGAATAAGCAGAGAACTCCTCGATCAGAATGAATGGGAGGGCTTGCTTGACCTGGCTTTTGCACCTATTTTACAGCCACAGTGGTCAAAACAGAGTGGGTATTGGTATAATGACAGATACTCAGACCAATGGAAAAGTGCTCAAAAACCCAGAAATAAAATCACCACCATACAACTGATCTTTGATAAGAGACCAAAAAATATCAAATAGGAAGAGGATGCCCTCTTCAACAAGTGGTGCTGGAAAAATAGATATTTACTTGCCAGTAAATGAAGCCAGACCCAAACCTCACTCCATGCACAAGAATAAACTCAAGGTAGGTCACAGACCTTGAGGTAAAACCCCAAACTATTAGGGCCATCAATGAGGGAATTGGGACAAACCTGAGAACTTAGGTGCAGGGAACCAAACAGGCTATCGGAAATAGAGAAGGACACAAATACAGATGAGGCAAAAATTGAAAAGTGGGATAAACTGAAGATAAAACACCTGTGTACACCTGAAAAGAATTCACTGAGAGTAATAAAAGAGAAAGCCTAAAGACTGGGAAAATATCTTTAGCAATGACACACTGGACAAAGGTCTTATTACTAAAATCTACAGTACTCTGCTAGCTTCCAAAAAGAAAAAAACGAATTGCCCACTGAGGAGGTGGGCACAAGACATGAACAGAAGTTTCACAAGGGCTGAAATATGAATGGCGAATAAAAATGAGAAAATGTTCCCGATCATTAGACATAAGAGAAATAAAAATTAAAACAACTAGGAGATACCACCTACCACCCTCAAAGACAACCCAATTCAAAATATCAGAAAATAACGTGGAGGGGCTGTGGTGAGATAAGAACTCTCGTCCACTGATGGTAGACCTGAATGTATGTACAGCCCCTATGTAAAGTGACTTAGCGATATCTAAAACAGATGGAAATTGAGCTACCACAT